CGCTCCCGGTCCCCGCGTGCGCACTATGGCTGCCGCTTTGACCCGAGCCCCCGAGCCCCCTCCCTACCTCCCCCCTCCTCTCTCCCCCCAAACCCTCCCCCTCTCCATCTCTCCCGCTCTCTCCTCCTCTCTCTCCGTCCCTCTCGTCTTCTATCCCCACTTGACCCTCCCACAACCTCCCTCTGTTCCAGTCTGGGAATCCTCCGCCGGGCTCACCGCGGCACTCGGCGTTGGCTGTCCAGCAGCAGCCACACCGACTGCCCCATTCCCCACCACACTCGCCACCCACCCCGGACACAGACCCGGGGAGTCAACCTCTCCTCCCTCATCCCCATCCCCCCACCCCTGCCTCACAACCTGGACCCCCTCCCCTCCCACACACCCTTCTGTCAACCGCTCCCTCCACATCGGACTGCAAAATGTCCGCTCCCTCTGCAACAAGGCCCTGGTCATCAACGATCTCATCCTTGATGAGAACGTTGATATCATGGCCTTAACAGAAACCTGGCTCACCCCAGGCGACACCTTCCCCCTCACGGAGGCCACGCCACCCGGCTACACCTCCCACCACATCCCCCGCCCCAACCGCCGTGGCGGTGGTGTTGCCCTTATCTCAAGGACACCACTTGCCCTATCCCCTACTCCACTGGCTCTTTCCCCTCCTTTGAGCACCTCACCCTCTCCCACCCCTCATTCCTCTCCCTTAAAATCCTCCTCCTCTACCGGCCCCCTAAAACCTCTCCCACCTTCATCTCTGACATTTCAACACTCCTCACATCTCTTTGCCTCTGCTCTGATCGCCTCATCATCCTGGGCGACTTTAACCTACACTTCACCCCTCCTGCTCCATCTCCACAGACTTCTCTTCCCTGCTCTCCTCACTCAACCTCTCCTTACACATAAACTCCCCCACTCACAGTCACGGCCACCCACTCGATTTGGTGATCACCCGGGGCCTCAGTGTCTCGGATGTCACTATTACCGACAAGGCCATCTCTGACCACTACTTCATCTCCTTCACCACCTCCACCCCCCTCCCCACCTCCACCAGACCCACCACCATCTTCTACCGCCCTTGGAAGAAGTTACCCCCACAATCCCTAACCGATGCCTTGGAGTCCTCTGAACTCCTCTCCCTCTGGCCTTCAACCCTCACCGACCCCTCTTCTCCTCTCTCCCTCCTCCACAATACCCTCTCCTCCACACTCGATACTCTTGCCCCCATCACTTCCCGCACTGTCTCCTACTCCCGCTCCTCCCCCTGGTACACCACCCACCTCCGCTCACTGAAAAGCCAGGTGCGGGCTGCTGAACGCACCTGTGTCAAATCTGGCCTAACGGTCCACCGACAAATCTGGCTGGACCTCCTCAAAATTTACCGCTCCACTCTAGCCTCGGCCAAGTCGTCCTTCTACTCCAGGATAATCCTGGAGGCGAAGAACAACCCCAGGCTACTGTTTTCCACCATAACCCGACTCCTCCGTCCCCCCCGCCACCCCGCGCAGGTCATCTCCTCCAACCTTCACTGCGAGGAGATGCTGGATTTCCTTGAATCCAAGATCAAGGGAATCCGCTCCGCGGTCACTTCCCCTCCAACTTCCACCCACCACCCACCCCTTCCCTCCCACACTCCGACTCCTACCCATCCTCCCCTACACACCTTCGTACCCGTTTCCCCACCCTCTGTCACTGAACTCATCCTATCCCTAAAACCAACCACCTGCTCCCTTGACCCCATCCCCACTCCACTCCTTATCTCCCAGCTCCACTTTCTTGCCCCACATATCACTGACATCATCAACCTGTCCCTCTCCTCTGGCTCTGTCCCCATTCCATTAAAAACTGCCATCATCACGCCCACCCTGAAAAAACCCTCCCTTGATGCGTCGCAGCTATCAAGCTACCGGCCCATCTCCAACCTCCCCTTTCTCTCCAAGGTCTTGGAAAGAGTTGTCGCCTCCCAACTGCGCTCTTTCCTTTCCACCCATTCTCTTTTCGAACCCCTTCAGTCAGGTTTCCGTGCTGCCCATAGCACAGAAACTGCCCTGGTCAAGGTCACCAATGATATCCTGACCATCTGTGACCAGGGCTCCCTCTGTCTCCTCGTCCTCCTCGACCTATCGGCAGCATTCGATACGGTCGACCACGCTATCCTACTCCACCGCTTGTCCTCCCACCTCAACCTTCAAGGCACCGTCCTTGAATGGTTTAGGTCGTACCTTTCTCACCATCTTCACTTTGTCTCGACGAATGGCTTCTCCTCCAACCCCCGCACTGTCTCATGTGGTGTCCCTCAGGGCTCTGTCCTCGGTCCCCTCCTCTTCACCCTCTATATGCTCCCCCTTGGTGACATCATCCGCAGACATGGAGTTAACTTCCACATGTATGCGGATGACACCCAACTCTACCTTTCCTCCTCTACTCTCAACTCCACGACCACCGATGTCCTGACAGCTGCCTGTCCGACATCGAGTCCTGGACGAGAGACAACTTTCTTCAGCTCAACGTGCGAAAAACCGAGGCCCTCCTGATTGGCTCACGTCAGCGCCTCCGCACCTCAGGCGCTGACACCATCAGCATCCAAGGCTGCACTCTCCACCTCTCAAAGCCAGTCAGGAACCTCGGCGTTTTGTTCGACCCTGAGCTGTCCTTTCTCCCTCACATCCGCACCACAACTGGCACCGCCTTCCATCACCTCCGGAACATCGCCAGACTACGGCATTACCTCACCCCTCACGCTGCTGAAACCCTGGTCCACGCCTTTGTCACCTCAAGGCTGGACTATGGGAACTCTCTCCTCGCCGGCCTTCCCGCCACCTCCCTCCACAAGCTGCAGGTCATTCAGAACTCTGCAGCTCGTGTACTGTCCCGCACCAGACACCGCGACCACATCACTCCCACCCTCGCTCGCCTCCACTGGCTCCCCATCCCCCAGAGGATTGATTTCAAGATCCTCATCCTCACCTACAAGGCCATTCACGGCCTTGCTCCCTCCTACCTCTCCAACCTACTATCCCCCTACCTACCTGCCCGTACCCTCCGTTCCTCTGGCTCCGGTCTGCTCCACGTCCCCCGCCCCAACCGCCCTACTATCGGTGGTCGGGCCTTCAGCCTCTCAGCCCCAGGCTCTGGAACTCCATCCCCCAGTGCCTTCGCCTTGCTTCCTCCCTTTCCTCCTTCAAGGCCGGTCTCAAAACCTTTCTCTTTGACCGTGCCTTCAGCTCCCCTCTCGACTCTCTTCCCCCTCCTCGCTCCCTCCCTTCCCTCCCCTCACCCTGACCATTTCCCCCCTGCTCGGGTCATGACCCAACTGTACAGCGCCTTGGGACGTCCTCCTGACGTGAAAGGCGCTTTATAAATGGAATCTTGTTGTTGTTGTTGTTGTTGTAGTGACTGTGTGTTGCCAATGCCCTTCACTGACAAAGAGACACTCACTCCTTTATTGTCTGTGTCTCACATTCACTCTGTCTGTCTACAATCGAGAGAGTGTGAGAGAGAGTGTGAGTGAGCGTGTCAGTGTGAGTGTGTGAGTGTGAGTGTGTGAGTGTGAGAGAGAGTGAGAGTGTGTTGTGTGAGAGTGAGAGGGTGTGTGTGAGAGTGAGTGTGAGAGTGTATGTTAGAGTGAGAGAGTGTGAGAGAGAAGTCTGTGTGTGAAGAGAGTGTAATAGAGTGCGAGAGTGAGTGTGTGTGTGAGAGTGTGAGAGAGAGTGTGAGAGTGTGTGTGCGAGAGTGAGTGTGAGAGTGTATGTGAGAGTGAGAGAGTGTGAGAGAGAAGTCTGTGTGTGAAGAGAGTGTAATAGAGTGCGAGAGTGAGTGTGTGTGTGAGAGTGTGAGAGTGAGTGTGAGAGTGAATGTGTGAGAGTGAGAGTGAGAGAGTGTGTGAGAGTGAGAGAGTGTGAGAGAGTGAGCGTGTGAGAGAGAGAGTGTGAGAGTGTGAGAGGGAATGTGTGAGAGTGAGTGTGAGAGAGTGCGTGAGAGTGAGAGAGTGTGAGAGAGTGAGAGTGTGAGAGAGAGAGAGTGTGAGAGAGTGTGAGAGTGTGAGTGTGAGAGAGTGAGTGTGAGAGTGAAAGTGTGAGAGTGAGTGTGAGAGTGTGTGAGAGTGAGAGAGTGTGAGAGAGTGAGAGTGTGAGTGAGAGACAGACAGAGAGAGAGAGAGTGTAACAGAGTGTGTGTGTGTGAGAGAGAGAGAGAGACAGAGAGAGAGCGTGAGAGTGAGAGAATGTGAGAGAGAGTGTGTGTGAGAGTGAGAGACAGACAGACAGAGAGAGAGAGAGAGAGAGGGAGAGTGTGAGACAGAGAGAGAGAGAGGGAGAGGGAGTGTGAGAGACAGAGTGTGAGAGACAGACAGAGAGAGAGAGGGAGAGAGAGTGGGAGAGGGTGACAGTGAGTGTGAGAGAGAGAGGGAGACAGAGAGTGTGAGAGTGAGAGTGAGAGAGAGAGAGTACCGCGTGAAGGGTTGGGTTCGAGGGCCGAGTGCGAACTGTGTGATATAAACCACAATCTTTATTGTACAGCGACACAGACTATGAAGGTTCAGCCTCGTGGCCATCACCGCCAAACACAGGTCACGGCTGAGGGTTCCCTCCTCATCAATCCGTCACCCGACAGATCCTCAGAGGGTCACCGGTTTTGCCGCCATCACTCCAACAGGGATCGAAGAGAGGATAAAGCTTCTCAGTGAAAGTGTCGGTGAATGTGTGGAGATGAGACATGTTTTCGGCGTTGCAAAAGGTCACCTCTCCCCCCTCATAGTCCAGGAACACTCCCACCTTCCCGAGTCTGTCCCTCAGGGACAGGAGAGTGGAGGGAGAGGTCAGAGTTATACATTCATCCCCATTTCTCAGCCACAAAACCCAGAATCCGTTCCCTGGTGACAGTGTGATCCATTCTTTCCTGTTGACGGACTCTCGGGCCAATCCCACTCTCCACTCTGTCTTGTTGACCACCTGCACCTCCCAGTAATGTCTCCCCGATATGAAGCCCTCAGACCCCAGGACGATGGGACAGGTATCAAACCTCTTGGGACCGTCCGGGAGCTGCTGCCGTGTGTCTCCGTGCCTCACGCTGGTCAGGTCCTCAGATAGGATGAGGTCGGGGATGGGCGGTGTCGGGATCCAGAGTCAGAGAGACCGGAGCTGAGAGAGAGACACAACACAACGTGGAGTGAGGGGACGTCTGGAGCTCAGACGGTGTGTGAACACATCTACACCCGGAGACACCATCGGGCCCCGAGGGTCACCGTCTGTGTGAGGGGGCGTGTGAGGGTGTGTGTGAGGTGGAGGGTGTGAGGGGGGGTGGGTGAGTGTGTGTGAGTGTGTGAGGATGTGTGTGAGTGGGTGTGCGAGGGGGGGGGTGTTGGGGTGTGTGAGTGTGTGTAACTGAGGGCATCTGTGAGGGTGTTTGTGTGAGTGGGTGTGTGAGGGTGTGTGTGAGGGTCTGTGTGAGGGTATGTGTCAGGGGGTGTGTGTGTGAGGGGGGGTATTAGGGTCTGTGTGAGGGTATGTGTGTGAGGGTGTGTCTGTGAGGGCATGAGTGTGAGGGTGTTTGTGAGGGGGTGTGTCAATGTGTGTGTGAGGGTGTGTGAGAGGGTGTGTGTGTGAGGTTGTGTGTGAGAGGGGTATGTGAGGGTCTGTGTGATGGTCTGTTTGAGGGGGTGTGTGAGGGGCTGTGAGAGTGTTTGTGCGTGAGGGTGAGTGAGGGGATTTATGAGGGTGTGTGTGAGGGTGTGTGGGGGGTGTGGGGGCGGTGTGTGTCTGAGTGTGTGAGGGTGTGTGTGAGAGTATGTCTGAGGTTGTGTGTATGATGTTGTGTGTGAGGGGTATTTGAGAGTCTGTGTAATGATTTGTTTGAGGGGGTGTGTGAGGGGGTGTGAGAGGGTGTATGCATGAGGGGGGGTTGAGGGGTTGTATGAGGGTTTGCGTCAGGGTGTGTGTGAGGGTGTGTGTGTGAGAGGGTGTGAGTGGGGTCTATGAAGGTATGTGTGAGGGTGTGTGAGGGTGTGTGTGTGTGATGATGAGGGGTTATGTGTGAGTATGTGTGTGACGGTGTTTGTGAGGGTATCTATGTGAGGGGGTATTTGAGTGTGTGTGTCTGAGGGTGTGTGTGTGATGGTGTGTGATGGTATGTGTGACGTGTCTGTGTGAGTGGCTCTGTGAGGGTGTGTGTGTGAGGATGTCTGTGTGTGTGAGGTTGTGTGTGAGGGGATGTGTGAGGGGGTGTGTGAGGGTGTGTGTGTGTGTGTGTGTGTGTGTGTGAGGTTGTGTGAGGGGGTGCGTGAGGGGGTGTGTGAGGGGGTGTGTGAGGTGTGAGGCCATTGACATTATGGCTCACCGCCGGTGACACCTTCCCCCTCACTGAGGCCACACCACCCGCTACCCTTCCCACCATGGCCCCCGCTCCAACCGTCATGGTGGTGGGGTGGCCCTCATCTCCAGGGCGTCACTGGCCCTGTCCCCCTCCTCCACCGCTCATTCCCCTCTTTCCATCACCTCACCCTCCGCCATCCCTCCCCTCTCTCTAACATCCTAATGTAATGCACCCAAAACCCTCCCCCAACTTCATCTTTGACCCCTCCACTCTCCTCGCCTCCCTCTGCCTCTGCTCCGAGCCCCTCATCCTCCTCGGCCACTTCAGCCTCGACTGCACCCCCTCCTGCTCCACCTCCTCAGACTTGTGCTCTCGCCTCCTGTGTGAGGGGGGTGTGCGGGAGGGGAGTGTGCGGGAGGGGTGTATGGTCTGAGGTGTGTGTATGAGGGGTGTGTTTGAGTGGCGCGTGTGTGTGAGGGGAGTGTGCGGGAGTGGTGTATGAGAGGTCTGTTTGTGGGAGGGGACTGTGTGTGAGGGGACAGTGTGTGGGGGGACTGTGTGTGAGGGGACTGTGTGTGACGGGAGAGTGTGTGAGGGGAGTGTGTGTGAGGGGACTGTGTGTGAGGGGACAGTGTGTGGGGGGACTGTGTGTGAGGGGACTGTGTGTGACGGGAGAGTGTGTGAGGGGAGTGTGTGTGAGGGGACTGTGTGCGAGGGGAGTGTGTGTGAGGGGACTGTGTATGAGGGAACTGTGTGTGAGGGGACTGTGTGTGAGGTGTATGTGTCTGAGGGGTGTGAATGTGTGCGTAAGGGATGGGTGTGTGTGAGGTGTGGGTGAGTGTTGTGTGTGAAGATTTGTGTGAGGGTATTTGGTGTGTGGGGTGTGTGTATGAGGTGTGTGTGTGCGTGTGTGAGGGATGTGTGTGTGTGAAAGGTCTGTGTGTGAGGGGAGTCTGTGTGAGGGGTGTGTGTGTATGTGAGGGATGTGTGTGTGTGAAATATCTGTGTGTGAAGGGTGTGTGTATGAGGGTGTGTGAGGGGTGTGTGTGTGAAAGGTCTGTGTGTGAAGGGTGTGTGAGGGGTGTGTGAGGGGTGTGTGTGTGAGGGGTGTGTGTATGAGGGGTGTGTGTGTGAGGCGTGTGTTTGTGAGAGGTGTGTGAGGGGAGTGCGAGCGGTGTGTGAGAGGAGTGTGTGCGAGTGGTGTATGTGAGCGTAGTTTGTGTAATGTGTGTGAAGGGTCAGTGTGTGTGTGAGATGTTTGCGTACTGTTCGTTTCGAGGACAAATGGGATTAATTTCTGGTGTAAAACCCTCTCAGGGGAACAGTGTGTAGTTGTGGACACGACACGTCACCCGACGGTGGACAGTGGACGGTGAGGTGGACATTCCCGGTCGTGTTTCACAGCAAAGGCTTAAGCTCTAACGATCCTTTCCTCCCACCGATGCCTTACTCTCCGATCGGGGACTTTGTAAACGACGCGTTATAGAGCATTAATGGCCTCACCTTCACAACTGCGGATCCTGTCGTTCGCTGAAACGAAATGAGGAAAAACTCTGTGGGAATCGATTCCGTTCACCGACACCGACGTTTATAAGTGACCGTTCGTTTGAGCACAAAACGGAGACGGAAAGGACGGTTATTTACTGCACCACATCACAGCTCTTACCATAACCGAAGAGAAGCTCCGAACAGCCTGGAAATAAACACAGAGTTTAGCCTCTGGGCTCAGGGTCACCAACACAGCAGCAATGTGTGTGGGTGTGTGGGGGTGAGAGGGTGAGTGTGTGGGGGGTTGAGTGTGTGTGTGTGTTGGGAGTATGTGTGTGTCTTGGGGGAGTGTGTGCGTGTAGTGTGTGGGGGTGAGTGCGTGTTTGGGGTATGTGTGTGTTGGAGTGTGTGCGTGTAGTGTGCGTGTAGGTTGTGTATGTGTGTAGGGGGTGTGTGAGTGTATGAGTACGTGTGAGTGTGTGTGTGTGTGTGTGTGCGCGGGTGAGTGTGTGTTTCGGGGATGTGTGTGTTGGGGGAGTGTGCACGTGTAGTGTGTGTAGGTTGTGTGTGTGGTGGGGGGTGGGGTGTGTGAGTGTATGATTGCGTGTGAGTGCATGTGTGTGTGTGGAGGTGTGTGGGGGGGGGGGGGGGGTGCTGTGTGGACAGAATGGGGCCGCAGGAATGGGGCACAGAGGCCGGGCTCCATTCCCATATTCCGTGGCCAGGCCGGTCACCTTGGGGCCAGTTGAGCCCTGAGCCGACTCTGCTTCACGCCTGGTCCTGGCTGGACAAGCAGCAGGAAAGCTCGGTCGGGCAGTGAGATCAGTGTCAATCCGTGGGGCTTAGGGGGTTGGACCCCAGCAGTTACCCCAACACACGCTCTGGGCTACTCACCAGCCATGGGCCGTTCCTCTCCAATCAGGACCTGTTCCTCTGGGGAGGAAGTGCGAGATCCATTCCAGACACTGGAATATCCAGGTCCAGGTGGTACACCTTGTGTTGGGCTCAGACGGGCCTCTACCACGTGGAGACCCGTCACCGAGCTGAAGAGTCTCCAAACCCAACGGAGATTTCTGAGCCTCCCGGTCACACACGTCAATTACCCACACGGACTGTTGGGATGGGAGGCTCACTATCCCAGAGCCACTCATCCTCTTTCCCTAATTCCAGGCAATATGAGGCACAGGTTGGTGAGAGCCAAGGCTTGGGGGAGCCCAGGGTGTGTGTTGGGGTAACTGCTGACGGCTGATATTGCCGTCCTGACAGATTTCCCACTGTTCACCCGGTGAGGATCACCCGACCCGTGAGGGCTCGGAATTCTGTTTGGTTGGGAAACTCTCAACTGTGGGGATGGATTTCCTCGTGTCAGACCCCGAGCTGTAAAGCTGTAAACCTCTAATGTAGCGGCTCTATAAACAGCCGGTGGTGTGATGTCTGACACCTACCTGCACAACTGCCCACAGCCGCCCACTCTGAAAGGAAACAGAAACACCATCGGATTTAATACACTTTTATTACCAACGTCATCCTTTGTGGCCTTCAAACCAAATGGTATTCTGACAATCTTTGGCTATAACTTAGCGTCCGTGTGAGATGACGGAATCGTACATTGAAAGTTCATGTCAATGTCTGTTCCTCATCATAAAACAATGCTATTCATTACATTCAATGTAGTAACTAACAGCGATGATGCCAACAGATCATTGTTTGAGATGCAGCACAATTCTGCACCAATGAGATTAACTAATAACGGTCAATGAGGGTAAAGCTGACGTTTACCTGATTCAGTGAATCGTTCCTTCAGTTCTGAAAGGAAACAACACATATTGAGTGTTTATTACACAAATCCCCCTCAGCCGTTACACACCGAACCTTATCCCGGTCTCGTGTTGCAGCTAATAACACGGAACACGTCCCAACCCGAGTTGGTTTCCAGAATCAGAGAAGTAATCCGTGCGGTTCGTTCGGCCCAATGTCCGACACTCTGTGTCTCTGATCACATCACAGGGCTTCGGAGTCTCCAAACCCACCCAACATACTGGGACTTCCACCACAATAACAACCCTTGAAGTTGACTCAGCGCCGTGTCACAGCTTCCGGACACAGCGCTTCAAAGGGTACACTGGAAAGCGAAGTGACTGTGTATGTTGTGGGCAAAGTTTTGCGCATCGACTGCGTATTTTGTGGGTCACCAATTGTGCACAGCAGTGACCCACAAACCGTGGTGGATTGAGTGACTACATTATTATTATTATTACTGAAGGGGTTATTACCGCTGGAAAGCCAATCGATCAGCGAGTCGGTTCCTCTTCACTGTCAGGTAACCAGAGTAGTGTGGAGACAGGAAACTTGCCTAAGGTTCCGGTGCGCCCGGGAATGGAACCCAGGTCCTCTCGCTTGTGAGGCGAGGGCTCTAACCCCTGAGCTACAGGACTCCACTGTGCACCTGGACATATGGTGTCCATGTGTCTGGTCTGGAGGGATGGCCCTGGGTAACGAACCCCAGCGAGTTCAGGCACGGATTGGAAGGAGCCCACACCTGTTGACCCCAGAGTGTGCCCCACTGAAGCCACACGGCTCGTCATTGTGAATGCTGGGAAGCCATTGCCATTGCCTCTCCACCCAGGACCACCCCCAACCTCACTCGTTGGGATAGAAGACGAGTTCCAGCTCCAACTGACTGGACGGCAGCTCCGAGTTCTGCTAATGATCCAGTCAGTCTGTTCCTCTAACCCTTCCCTTGACCCCTGAGGATCTGCGCGGTTCAGGAACCAGACTGTGGTGATCAGCACAGGAACTCCGAGATTCCACTGCCAGACGCAGTGTAATGTAGAGGCTCTATAAACAGCCGGTGGTGTGATGTCTGACACCTACCTGCACAACTGCCCACAGCCGCCCACTCTGAAAGGAAACAGAAACACCATCGGATTTAATACACTTTTATTACCAACGTCATCCTTTTTGGCCTTCAAACCAAATGGTATTCTGACAATCTTTGGCTATAACTTAGCGTCCGTTAACCCTGAGACAACTCTGTCCCAAAGAGATCCCAATCCACAAAGGAAATGATCTTACAATATCTCAACAACAAATACATTTAGATAATTATTTGCAGAGGACAGGTTTGCAGGGCTGTGGGGAGAGTGCGGGGGAGTGGGGTTGATCAGGGCTATGGGGAGAGAGAGAGAGAGAGAGAGAGAGAGAGGGGGTGGTGGGGGTGGGGTGAGAGTTTGGTGGGCTTCTGACTTCATTATATTTTGTGTTTGGCGGAGCTGGCCAGGCCAGCGAGGAGGATTGGAATAGTCCAGCCAGGAAGTGATGAAGGCCAGGACGAAGATGTCGGCCGCTGCGCGGGTGAGTTACGGACGGAGGTGGGCAACGTGGCGGAGGTTCCTGGTCAGGGTACGGATGTGGGGTAGAAGGGAACCTGACCCCTGAGTTGTGCTCGGGTTTGGAGAGGCTGAGGGAGAGCCCAGCCCGGGGTGGATGAGGACCTCAGAGCTGCAGGAGAGAAGGCGTTGGCTTCCGATTGGCCCATCTTCAGTTGGAGGAAACGTTCGCTCACCGAGGCCCGGCCGTCCGTCAAACAATCTGACAGGACATCAGGGGACGGGAGTCCCATCTGGAGGAGGGGGAGGAGGAGATGAAGATCTGGGTGTTGTCCACATACATGTGAAAGTTAACCCCATGTTTGGAGATGACATGGCCCAGAGGGAGAGGGTAGATGATGAAAGGGAGACCAGTGATGGAGCAACGTACCCTATACCTCTCCCACACCCCCAGTTTGGCCTTTCCCAGAGACATCCTATTCAAGGGGAGGGTTAAAGGAAACTTATTTCACATTCCAGGTCGGTCACACTTACCGAGAGCCTTTCTCAGGTATTTTCGGTCTGAAAGCAGAAACAAATATTAATACAGAATGTAAAGTTTCTCACACGATCCTCATCACACAAACGGAAGGCCATCAGAGACACCGGTCGCGGCAGTGAGTGCGGTTTACCTCGTTCAGCGGATTTCAATTCGTTATTTTTAAAACAAAAGAAAATTCATCCTTCAGTCATCGAGAAAAACCGTGAAAGTTTATCAGATTTCTTCCACTCAACGTCTTTGGTTTCCTTTCAGCTGAAACCTTCCGACCCTCTCAAGGCTTTGAGCGCATAGAGAACCTCACGTCCACCGAAAGGAACGAACTGAGTCACAAACTCTCAAAATGTAAGAATTTCCTTTGAATCTATTTGTGATCTCACAATTTGTGTCACAAGTGATGAAACACTCGGATTTTTCTGCTCTTCGGAAACCGAGAAAACCGGATTCAGCATTTAATGCCCTCAATAACCGAATACTGAGAATAGTAATAATCCTTATATTTGGTACAGAACCCACACCAACTCCATCTCCTACAGCCCCACTGCTCCCCCTCACACATTAACCCGTGTACCCCATCAACCCATTCCTCGCCCACTGCTCCCCCTCACACACTAACCCTTGTACCCCATCACCCCATCCCTCGCCCACTGCTCCCCCTCACACACTAACACGTGTACCCCATCACACCATGCCTCGCCAGCGCCCACTGCTCCACCTCACACACTAATAATAATAATAATAATAATAATAATAATAATCCTCGCATTTGATATAGCGCTTTTCACGTCGGGAGGACGTCCCAAAGCGCTTCACAGAACATACTGCAAAGTGAATTGACTGTATATTTGTGGGCGAACGCGGCAGCCAATTGCGCACAGCAATGTCCCACAAACAGTCGTAGATTGAAAATGACCAATTAATTATTGTTTTTGGTTTTTTTTTGGAGGGATTATTATTAGGCTCTGTGTGGAGTAAGGAAACTTGCCCAAGGTTTGGCCCTCTGCCTGGAATTGAACTCAGGTCTCTCACTTGCAAAGCGGGTGCTCTAACCACTGAGCTACAGGACTCCACGACTCCACTAACCTCTGTACCGCATCACCCCATTCCTCGCCCACTGCTCGCCCTCACACACTAACCACTGTAACCCATCACTCCATCCCTCGCCAGCCCCCACTGGCTCCCCCTCACCTAATCCCTGTAACCCATCACCCCATTCCTCGCCCACTGCTCCCCCTCACACACTAACCCCTGTACCCCATCACTCCATTCCTCGCCAGCCCCCACTGGCTCCCCCTCACCTAACCCCTGTAACCCATCACCCCATCCCTCGACCACTGCTCCCCCTCACACGCTTACTCCTGTACCCCATCACCCCATTGCTCACCAGCGCCCACTGCTCGCCCTCACACACTAACCACTGTACCCCTTCACCCCATCCCTCGCCCACTGCTCCCCCTCATACTCTAACCCCTGTACCCCATCACCCCATCACTCGCCCACTGCTCCCCCTCACACACTAACCCCTGTCCCCCATCACCCCATCCCTCGCCAGCGCCCACTGCTCCCCCTCACACACACTAATCCCTGTACCCCATGACCCCAGCCCTCGTCGGGCCCCTGACTCTCGGCCGGGATGACCTGTTGGACGGCTGTGAAGTTGTCACTTACCCAGAATTTTAAATTGCTGTTTTAGATTTTCATAAACTGGAAAATAAAAACACAAATGTCAGTGTCGTCCTCGTCAAAAGCTGCCGACCTTGTCCTTATCCGTCGGGAACCATCCACAGTCCCCAAAATCACTTACTTCAACCCCTGTCAAAGACCCCTCTGTAGTCTCCTCTGAACCCCAATGTGATTAGACCATAGATTTCCTCGTGGCATAAACAACGCAATACACGTTGCTCGTACCCCACCTACGCCCCGACCTACTCCCTCGCCTCTCACCCACCCATCTGCTGAAGCCAATTGGCCTTCCTCTGGCCCAGACCACAGACAATAGTAACCCTGTCCCTCAACAGCATCCACAGACACAGTCAACCTGTCCCTCAACACCATCCACAGACACAGTCAACCTGTCCCTCAACACCATCCACAGACATAGTCAACCTGTCCCTCAAAACCATCCACAGACAGAGTCAACCTGTCCCTCAACACCATCCACAGACACAGTCAACCTGTCCCTCAACACCATCCACACGCACAGTCAACCTGTCCCTCAACACCATCCACAGCCACAGTCAACCTGTCCCTCAACACCATCCATAGACACAATCAACCTGTCCCTCAACACCATCCACAGACACATTCAACATGTCCCTCAACACAACCCACAGACACAGTCAACCTGTCCCTCAACACCATCCACAGACACAGTCAACCTGTCCCTCAACACCATCCACAGACACAGTCAACCTGTCCCTCAACACCATCCACAGACGCAGTCAAACTGTCCCTCAATACCATCCACAAACAGAGTCAACCTGTCCCTCAACACCATCCATAGACACAGCCAACATGTCCCTCAACACCATCCACAGACACAGGTTCATCTCCAGGTGTCTGTGCAGTCCCCACATCTACTTTCGATTTCCAATGGTGACTCCTTGACGCCTGAGGTTCTATCCAGTGGCCCTTTGACACATCCCGGTCCGGATGAGCCTCTATTCCCTCCAACTCATGGACATGAGACTGAAGGCAGTCTCCTCGGCTGACCGCCAACACCTCCTCTCCTTGGCTCTTACCTCCTCAACCTCCTCAGCCTTCCTCTCAATTTCTCCGGGTGCACAAACATGGCATCCGGTTCATCCCGAGCAGTGCTTCATCCCTCACACCCCTTTCCTCGCGACAGTCAAGCAATCTTTTAGAGGATCTCAAAATTGTTTCTCACCTTGAACCTGTTTCCATCGTTTCCTGCAGAAGAACATCAACACAGCAGCAGCTCCGAGCACAGGAGCGAAGGTCACCCAGAAAGCCACGAGCCAGTTTGGGTCTCTGTGGAACATCTCCGCTGTAAACCACAGAGCAGCGATAATATTCCTGTCATTCTCACATGTCACATCGCAGTCTATCGCATGTTCTTCACCTCACAGAGCGCTTTCCGCCCATCACTGTGATGTGCGGTCACAACTTTTGTTTGGGTGCAAAGTGGCCGCCGGACTGCGCACAGGAACGCCCAACAGACGGCCACGGAACGAGTGACCGCCTCGACTCGGGGAATTGTTGGTCGGGATACCCAGGGGGACGGGCTTTGCCTTTCGAGCAGTGTCGGGGTATCGATACCGTCCGCCTGAACAGGCAGACGCGGGCTCGGTTTGTAACGTCTCAACCCGTGGACATCACCGGCCGAAGCCTCGATCCCCAACGCTGCGCTGGAGCTTCAGTCTCAGCGTCAGACAATCATCGTCAGTCCCGGAAAGTGAGACGGACTGTAAATGTAAAGAGCAAATCCATATCCCTGAAGGAAAGTGTCTGAATGAATGGAAATACTAACAGTGAAGAGCAACAGACACACACACTCACTCACACAAACACACACACACACAGACTCACACACAAACTCACACACACACACACACACTCGCACACTCACATACACACACACATAGACTCACAGACACTCACACACACACTCATACACTCTCACACGCAAACTCATACACACTCACACACACACCCACACAGACACACACACGCACCCTCACACTCACACACACACATACTCACACACTCACACACTCACACACACACTCACACACACACACACTCACACACACACGCACACTCTCACACACACACTCACACACACACACACTCACACACAGACTCACACACACACTCACACACACTCACACAGACACTCGCACACACACTCACATACATACATTCACACACTCACACACTCACACACACCCTAAGATACACACCCACATATACACTGACATACACACTCACACAGACACCCACACAAACACTCACACAAACTCACACACAGGCACATACACTCACACAGACATACCCACAGACACTCACACAGACACACACCCACACACACACTGACATACACACTCAAACACACTGACGTACACACTCACACACTCATAAACACTCACAAACACAGTCACACACTCACACATACATTCACTCACATACACATACAAACATGCAAACACATACACACACGCACACTGACACACTAACATACACACCCACACACATATAAACACTCACAAACACAGCCGCACACACACACACACACACACACACACGCTACACACACATCCACACTCACATACACACTCACACACACACTCACTCTCACACGTACTCACACACACAGTCTCTCACACGTGCACACGCTGTCGCAACGCACAAGCACTCACCCGCGCGCACTCTCACACCGCACACAAGCTCACACACACACTCCCCCACACACTCTCACACTCACTGACACACACTCTTATACATAACTAACTTATTTCAGTGGTGACTCGTATTCACGATAGCGAACTGAGCTGCGATGAAAGTCGCTGTAATAAACTCAGCGCTGAGAGGTGCGTTCCGGGTCTCGACCTGAAACCCGAACCGCGTTTCATTAAAATGTTGACATATCTCCAAACCTCCCACTGACCTGACACCCGGATCTTGGCCTCCTTTCTCTTCGCAGCATTCTGTGTCAGACACGTCAGTCTGTCTGTGAAATCGCTGGTTATATCGATGCTACTTTCACACTCCCAACAGCCGTCCGAGGCCTGGGAGCACGTGTCGGAGTTTGCCTTCACCTCTCCTCCGCTCCCGTCAATCCAAACCACACGGGGTTTGGGATACCAGCCTTTTGATTTACAGGTCAGTTTATTCCTGGAGTCGGGGTAACGTGCCAAGGAAACCGGGGCTGCTGTTTGAGGGCTGCGATGAGAAGACGGTGTGTTATTGAGAGAATAACCAACGCAGCAATTTACAAGTCAACACGTTCGGTCCCTTCCGCACCTATCGACTCGGGGGCAGTGATGGTGTCGGCGGCGGTGACGGTCATTTCGACGGTGGGGTTCCACAGCCGTGAAGCCAACGACCAACTAATGTGCCTCTCAATCGGTTTATGGGACCATCAGTGTCGGGAACAGATGAAAGTCCCGTCCGTGAGCGTCTCTCACAATGAGTGGTTCAGCGACAGTCTCGGCCTGAACGATGGGCTCAGATACTGAGATGGGCTTTGAACCACAGGTAACAATAATAACTTGTGATCACACAGCGCCCTTCACTGGGTCAGTGTCCTGGAGGGTTTGACAGTGGCGGAGTCTAACCCGGAGCCACGGGGAGAGGGTGGGAGGAGGTGACCATAGACACCATCAAAAAGGAAGGTCTTTAGGCAGGAATTGCAGGTGGGGAGGGAGGGGCTGAGGCGGAGGGATTGTGGGAGAGCGTTCCAGAGTTTGTGGGTGTAGTGACTGTGGGCCGGGACACCGACGGTGGACCAGAGGGGACGAGGGACAAACAGGAGGCCGGAGCCAGTCGAGCGGAGGCAGCGGAGTGGAGGCAAAGGGAGGAATCTTCCCCATTGAGAGCCACAACGACAACCCATTAGCGTTGGGGCTGTGGTGGAGATGGCGGTGGGTGTCCGAGGCTGGAAAGTGCGTTGATGGGCACAGACGGGGAACGGGAGCCGAGAATAGGGAAATACACAGGTTATACGCAACTGACCTTCAACTTTCAAACCCACTGTTGTTTCGTCTTCACTTGTTTCTGCTCTCACAGAACACGTGTAACGTCCTTGGTCTGAGCACCTCACGTTCCTCAGTCTGAGTGAGATGATTCCCCGAGTCAGCGCTCCTCTACTGAGCTCAGTTCTTCCTCCGTAGGCTTCATCTTGTAGATCAGGTCGATCCACTCCGTATGTGTATAAAAGAACCAATTGCCCAGTCTCATATTTAATCCATTGCACATACATACCATCCGCAGCCACTCCTGGTTCTAACCAACATCGCAGAGTGATGTCTTCCCCGGGAGATGTCAGCACTGCCTGACGTGGGTCATGAACCAAAAAATTATCTGGTGAACAAGAACACAAATCATTAAACCGTTGCCATGGTTTGTTTTCTATGTCAACGTGAAATGCTTATTATTGTCTGACCGTCGCTGACAAGTTTCACGTTTTCTGGTTTCCTGAAGCCCTGGAAGTCGGGGAATGTACGGACTCGATCCGCAACGATCTGATGGCAGAAATATACAGCGGTTCGCGGTCTCATCAGAGGCCACACGTCACACCGTCACCCGGGAGTTTGGATGGAGACGTCGCATCAGAGCCCATTTGATCCGATCTTTCCAGAACACTCGCCCTCTCTCTCTCTCTCTCTCTCACCATCACAGCTTCACGTCACACACACTATCTCCGTGACCGAGAGCTTTGTGAACACAGACGGCTCTCAACCTGGTCATCGCTGGTCAACAACACAATGTGGAGGAGACATTTCCCTCAGAGACGGAGATACAGTTGTTCATAAGTGAACAACGGGAGATGATGGGGAGCAGTTTGGGCCCTGAAAGGCTGAGTGACTCGTACAGAAACATCACGATTCCGGGTCAGGTTTATCTCCAGTGGTGATGACAACCTCCAGATTCCAGTCACAGGGAACGGTTTCTCTCTCAGAAACAGCGCGACTTTCCACCGCCAATAGTGAGCAAAGCTTTTCGTTGCCTCTTTGGCAAACAGCAGCTTAAAGGTGACAGTCGCCGTCAGACCGGGACCTTAAGGAGGAATCTTAGTCTGGAACGGGAATGTTAAATCACTCACCGGGAAACGAAGCCGGAACCTGCAACAGGAAAACCACAAAGAGGATCTGCTCCATGATCTGTCAGGACGTCGAGCCCTGAAACACCGGGAAATCAACAGGAATTTACCGCCAATTCACACGGAATGGGTAGAACACACCCACACCGGGTCTGTGTCACGATCCAGACCAGCGTTTGGACATCGTGACCTCCAAACGCTGGGAGTAAAGTGACTGTCCTGTATGGGAGAGAACAGCCACAGAAACCGGCAATTACACAGCGCCCGTCCCGTGGGGAAGTGGTCAAACGGTGTCCGGGGATCTTTGACGTCCACCTGACAGGCGCACAGCGCCTCACTACAGAGAACTTTTATTTCACGTGTAAAGTGGACATGAAAGTGGAAGCGCTGAATCCTGAAGGTGGAATACACTGAAGTGAACCATTACTTTGAGGGTAAAATCATCGGGAAACGGTTTGGGAAACGTATCCTCTTTCCCTACTCCAATAAACGGCAGAATCTTCACTACTAAAGTAAATGAAACGTGTGACCGGAGCGGATGTCCGGAGTCCGATCCCTCTCTCGGTTCCGGTGTGATTCACATTATAGACACAGACGGGGAATGAGGGATCCAATATTCCCCACGGGATCGGTTGGGGAACAGTCCTGCGGTCCTGACGGTCAGTGATGACTGATGTTCGTGACTCGCTGTCAGTCACATCACATTCCTGCGCTGAGACCCTCTGGTTCCGCCCTCACCTTCCCAGGAATGTCCTCCATCCCACAGGGAACGCCGCGCAGGACCGAGGCCCCGGTTAGTGGGTGCCAGACCTGTGCGGGCGGAGGAGGGGCTGAGGTGGGGATGGGGCCAGAACCAGGAGACATGTAAATGGCCAACGAGGACCTTGCGGTGGTCCGGCCGGGGATGGCGGTCAGCGGAGCTGAGCCGGGAGGGGATGAGGGGTGAACGGAGCCTGGAGTGGGAGAGGACATGGGGTCAGGTCTTTACACGACTCCGACCGTCTCCAGAGAAACACGACGGGATCGGACACCCGGAGCCACTTAAACAGCGTGAGCGAGAGAGTGACTGTGAGAGAGTGAGTGTGAGAGAGTGAGAGAGAGTGAGTGTGAGTGAGTGAGAGTGTGAGAGAGTGTGAGAGAAAGCGAGTGAGTGAGTGTGAGAGAGTGAGTGTGAGAGTGTGAGAGAGAGCGAGTGAGTGAGTGTGAGTGTCTGTGTGAGAATGTGAGAGAGAGTGATTGTGAGAGTGTGAGAGAGTGAGAGTGAGTGTGAGAGTGAGTGTGAGAGAGTATGAGAGAGTGAATGAGTGTGAGAGAGTGAGAGAGTGTGAGAGAGTGTGAGAGAGAGCGAGTGAGTGAGTGTGAGAGAGTGAGAGAGTGTGTGTGAGAGAGAGTGTGAGAGTGTGAGATAGTGAGTGTGAGAGAGTGTGAGAGAGAGCGAGTGAGTGTGAGTGAGTGTGAGAGAGTGTGTGTGAGAGAGAGAGTGTGAGAGAGTGAGTGTGAGTGTGTGAGAGAGAGCGAGTGATTGAATGTGAGAGTGAGTGTGAAAGTGTGAGAGAGTGATTGTGAGAGAGTGTGAGAGAGCGAGTGTGTGAGTGTGAGAGAGTGAGAGAGTGTGTGTGAGAGAGAGAGTGTGAGAGAGTGAGTGTGAGAGTGAGTGTGTGTGAGAGAGTGAGTGAGTGTGAGAGTGAGTGTGCGAGAGAGTGTGAGAGAGTGAGTGTGAGAGAGCGAGTGTGAGAGCGAGTGAGTGTGTGTGAGAGTGAGTGTGAGAGAGTGTTAGAGTGTGAGAGAGAGCGAGAGTGAGAGAGTGTGAGAGAGTGAGTGTGAAAGAGTAAGTGTGAGAGAGTGAGTGTGAGAGAGTGAGTCTGAGAGTGTGAGAGATTGAGTGTGAGAGAGTGTGAGAGAGAGAGAGTGAGTGAGTGTGAGAGCGTGAGAGAGTGTGTGTGAGAGAGAGTGTGAGAGAGTGTGAGAAAGTGAGTGTGAGGGTGAGTGTGTGTGAGAGAGTCATTGAGTGAAGGTGAGAGTGAGTGTGAGAGAGTGTGAGAGTGTGAGAGAGAGCGAGAGTGAGAGAGTGTGAGAGAGTGAGTGTGAGAGAGTGAGTGTGAGAGAATGAGTGTGAGAGTGTGAGAGATTGAGTGTGAGAGAGTGTGAGAGAGAGAGAGTGAGTGAGTGTGAGAGCGTGAGAGAGTGTGTGTGAGAGAGAGAGTGTGAGAGAGTGTGAGAGAGTGAGTGTGAGAGTGAGTGTGTGTGAGAGAGTCATTGAGTGAAGGGGAGAGTGTGCGTGAGAGAGAGTGTGAGAGAGCGAGTTTGAGAGCGAGTAAGTGTGTGTGAGAGTGAGTGTGAGTGAGTGTGAGTGTGTGAGAGAGAGCGAGTTTGAGAGCGAGTAAGTGTGTGTGAGAGTGAGTGTGAGTGAGTGTGAGTGTGTGAGAGAGAGCGAGTGTGAGAGAGAGTGTGAGAGAGTGAGTGTAAGAGAGAGCGAGTGAGTGAGTGTGAGAGAGTGAGCGAGTGTGAGAGAGTGTGAGAGAGCGAGTGAGTGAGTGTGAGAGCGTGAGAGAGTGTGTGTGAGAGAGAGAGTGTGAGAGAGTGTGAGAGAGAGAGTGTGAGAGAGAGTGAGAGAGAAAGAGAGAGTGTGAGGGAGTGAGGGAATGAGTGTGTTAGTAAGTGAGGGAGAGAGTGTGAGTGTGTGAGAGAGAGTGTGCGAGAGAGAGAAAGTGAGAGTGTGAGACTCAGTGCGTGAGTGTGTGTGAGAGTGTGAGTGTGAGAGAAAGAGAGTGAGTGTGTGTATGAGGGAGGGAGGGAGGGAGGGAGGAGGAGGGAGGAAACGAATGAGTTAATAAGTGAGGGAGAGAAAGTGAGTGAGTGAGTTAATGAATGTGAGAGAGAGAGAGTGAGTGAATGAGTGTGTGAATGAGAGAGCGAGTGAGGGAGGGAATCAGTGAGTAAGCGAGGGGGGGAGGGATGGAATGAGCTAGTATGTGAGAGAGAAAAAGTGAGTGAGGGAGGGAGGGAGAGAGGTAGGGAATGAATGAGTTAGCAAGTGGGGGAGAGAGGGAGTGCATCAGTGTGAGCGAGAGAGAGTGAGCGAGTGAGGGAGTGAGGGAGGGAATGAGTGAGTTGGTAAGGGAGGGAGAGAAAGTGAGTGAGTGAATGTGTGAGAGAGAGAGAGAGAGTGTGAGAGAGAGAAAGTGAGTGAGAGTGCGAGCGAGAAAGTGAGGGAGAGAGCGAGTGAGTTAGTGAGTGAGGGAGAGAGGGTGGGACGGAGTGAGTGTGTGGGGGAGAGAGAGAGTGAGGGAGGGAGGGAGGGAATGAGTGAGTTAGTGAGTGAGTGAGAGAGGGACACTCACATACTGTCATTTCACTTACCATCCGTTCTCCTCTGATATCCTCTCACACTCCTCCTCTCCTCTGATCTCCTCTCACTCTCCTCCTCTCCTCCGATCCCCTCTCACACTCCCCTCTTCCCTCTGCCCTCTCCTATGATCCCCTCTCACACTCCCCTCTTCCCTCTGCCCTCTCCTCTGATACCCTCTCACACTCCCCTCTTCCCTCTGCCCTCTCCTCTGATCCCCTCTCACACTCCCCTCTTCCCTCTGCCCTCTCCTCTGATCCCCTCTCACACTCCCCTCTTCCCTCTGCCCTCACCTCTGATCCCCTCTCACACTTCCCTCTTCCCTCTGCCCTCTCCTCTGATCCCCTCTCACACTCCCCTCTTCCCTCTGCCCTCTACGGACAGGAAGAGGACCATCTCCAGTCCAAACAAAATGGTTCTGTTGAAGATCAGCGACAGAGGGAACAGTCACTTTCTCTTTCGTTTTGCAGAGTTGTTGACTGAGAGAGAGAGAGAGGGAGAGACTGAGAGACTGAGAGAGAGAGAGAGAGAGAGAGAGAGAGAGGGAGTGAGAGAGAGACTGAGAGAGAGAGATATAGAGAGAGAGACTGAGAGAGAATAAGTGCGGGAGAGAGGGAGTGAGTTAGTGAGTGAGGGAGAGAGGGAGTGAGTTAGTGAGTGAGGGAGAGAGGGAGTGAGTTAGTGAGTGAGGGAGAGAGGGAGTGTGTTAGTGAGTGAGGGAGAGAGGGAGTGAGATAGTGAGTCTTGGTTGGACAAGCAGCTGGAAAGCTTCTCAGACGTAAATTATAATTCAACAACCGATTACATTTGTACAACTACCTTCAAACAGGTACCACCTATGATTTGAACTGGATACTTTGCTATATTCCCATATGTTACCCCAAATCATACTCAAGGTTCCCCTAAGCCAAGGCTCTCGCCAAAAAACGATATGGGTGCTGTGTGGGTGCATGTCTATAGATCGAGAGAGAGAGAAAGAGATTGACTATGATCGTTTACATGAGAAGATTATAGATAATTATTTTTACTATTTGTATATGAAAATCAGTTTGTGTAAATGTATCAAGTGTTGTTCTGATGTCTCTTGGTTTCCGATTCAATCTTGATCGTATGGAGCAAGTCAACAAGAAAAAGTTGCCTTTACACAGCGCCCTTTATGCGGGGTAGTAAACCAGAGCTCTTGACAGTGGTGGAGTCTGACTGTTAGCCTGGAGGACAGGGAGTGGGATTGTGACCATAAACATAATCAAACATGGAATCTCAGGGCGGGATTTGAAGGTGGGGAAAGAGGGAGCAAGTTAAAGCCATTGGGGAAGATACGTTCGGAATTGGGTGTCTTAGTGGGTGAATGCAAGACCACTGATGGTGATCGGATAGTACAAGAGATAAACAGGAGGTTGGAGCCATCTGTCCAGAGTCATTGAGTGGTGGAGTGGGGTCTCAGCAGACAGGAGTGGTTGGGAGGTGCGATGGCATGAACTGATTTCAAAATGAGTGAGAGGGTATCGAAATCAACTGAACCCCTTTCGTTTCCCGCTTCAGACCCCCGACAAACTGTCATACCATCCCCTGCTCTGAAACAGCAAATTACATTCACCTGGGCCTTTCATGTCAGGAGGACGTTCCAAGGCACTGGACAGTCAGGGATTTGGATACGAGCTGGAGGTGGGATCAGGAGGGATGGAAGGCTGTGATGGTAGGGATAAGAAGTTGGCCAAAGGCATGTTTGGTCAAAGAGGAGTGTCTTGAGACTGGTCTTGCAGGAGGCGAGGAAAGTAGTGATGTGAAGTGACTGTGGGATAGAGTTACAGATGGTGGGGGTAGAGAAGATCAAGTCTCAATGGTCGATGGTAGGGTGGACCGGGTGGTGGACGTGGAGAATGTCAACTTGCTCCCGGCTCCTATATCCTTATCTTGAATCCCTTCACTTTCCTCCCTCCATCTCGACTGTCACAAGCCATTTGTCTTTGAATGTGCCTTTGCCCACTGAGGGTGGGAGGTTAGCGGGTTCTGCTTGGAGCTGAACTGGCCCCAAGGTGACATGTTTGGCATAAATCAGACAGCTCCACAGAGCAGCTTCTCCTATTGCTGATACACAATAAATCAAGAGGAGCTGAGAAACACTGACACAACAGGTGATATATAAGACCGCACCATGTTTCCAGTAAGTCATTAAACAGCTCGTAAAAGTGTTGCAAGTTCGAAAAGTACCAGTTCAATGAAATAATTATTAACTTGTATTGCTCTCCCTTCCTTGTTATCAAAGAAACCTTTGACCAACACTCAAGAATATTGTCAAAAGATCAAACATACATTGCAAGATCTCTCCTGACGGCTGTTGTGTAGTTGAGGTGTATAAATGTTTACTGTATGTTAACGTGTGTTCCAATGAAGGAATATTAAAGTGCTGTAGCACTTTGCTGTTCTATGTAACATCCCACAATTGTCTTAGTAAAATCCCTTCTACTCCTTGAGGGCAGGTTAACAGGGTCTCAGGGGACTTGACTTGCAGCTTGTCAACGAGTGTGGGAATGGAGCCTCTGTGACGGTCTCTCGTCCCCGGTTCCTGAGCCCGGAGGGGTCACAGTATCCTGGGGCACTCACTGCTGATAGCGGCACAGCTCGGCCCGGCTCATCGGCAGGACCTGAGAGTGTCGATCAGTCACCGGAGGCGCACAGACAGACAGAGAGAGAGACACAGACGGGCAGAGAGATAGAGAGACACACACGGGCAGACACCACAGACAGCACCGCAGAGACAAACACAGGCAGAGAGACACACACAGGTACAGACACACAGAGAGACACAGACAGAGAGAGACATACAGAGGCAGAGAGAGACACGCACAGGCACACACACACACAGTGAGACACACACACAGGTCCAGACACACAGAGAGACACAAAAACAGGTCCAGACACAAAGGGAGACACACACACACAGGTACAGATACACAAAGAGACACATACACAGGTACAGACACACAGAGAGAGACATACACAGGTACAGACACAAAGAGAGACACAGAAACAGGTCGAGACATACAGAGAGAGACAGACACGGGTACAGACACACAGAGAGACAGACACAGGTACAGAGACACAGCGAGACACAGACACAGGTACAGGCAAAACAGAGAGACGCAAATATATGTACTGACAAACAGAGAGAGACATACACATGTACAGACACACAGAGAGACACAGACACAGGTACAGACACACAGAGAGAGACAGACACAGGTACACAGACACAGAGAGACACAGACACAGGTACATACACACAGAGAGATACAGACACAGGTACAGGCACAACAGAGAGACGCAAATATATGTACTGACAAACAGAGAGACACATACACATGTACAGACACACAGAGAGACACAGACACAGGTACAAACACACAGGGAGACACAGACACAGGTACAGACACACAGGGAGACACAGACACAGGTACAGACACACAGAGAGACACAGACACAGGTACATACACACAGAGAAGCACAGACACAGGTACAGACACACAGAGAGACACAGACACAGGTAATGACACACAGAGAGACACAGACACAGGTACTGACACACAGAGAGATACAGACACAGGTACTGACACACAGAGAAACACAGGTACATGTACTGACACACAGAGAGACAGAAACTGGTACAGAGACACAGAGAGAGACAGACACAGGTGCAGACACACAGAGAGACAGACACAGGTACAGAGACTCAGAGAGACACAGACACAGGTACAGAAACACAGGGAGACACAGACACAGGTACAGACACACAGAGAGACAGACACAGGTACAGAGACACAGAGAGACACAGACACAGGTACATACACACAGAGAGACACAGACACAGGTACAGACACACAGAGAGACCGACACAGGTACAGAGACACAGAGAGACACAGACACAGAGCTACAGAGGCACAGACACACAGAGAGACACAGACACAGATACAGACAGACAGAGAGACAGAGACCCAGACACAGACAGAGCTACAGAGACACACACAGTCAGAGAGACACAGATACAGATACAGACACACAAAGAGACACAGACACAGAGAGAGCTACAGAGACACACACAAACAGAGAGACACAGTCACAGGGTGACACGGGGCTGATTCCCTGACCCTGTGTCCAGGTGATGGTGGGGCTGGACTCCTGGCCTTGGCTCTCTCCGAGCTGCTGATCTGCTGGTTCAGCCCCAAAGCCCCTCTACTCTCCCTTCCCACTCTTCACCCCACTCTGCCATTGCAAACCCCTCTGCTCTGCTTCCCCACACTACACCCCACTCTGCCCACCTACCCCCCTCTACTCTCCCTCCCCACACTACACCCCACTCTGCCCACCTACCCCCCTCTACTCTCCCTCCCCACTCTACGCCCCACTCTGCCCCCGCACCCCCCTCTATTCTTCCTCCCCACAGTACAACCCACTCTGCCCCCGCACATACTGTACTCTCCCTCCCCACACTACACCCCACTCCGCCCACCTATTCCCCTCTACTCTCCATCCCCACTCTAAATCCCACTCTGCTCCCCCCACACACCTCTACTCTCCCTCCCCACTCTACACCCCACACTGCCCCCGCACACCCTCTACTCTCACTCCCCACTCTACACCCCACACTGCCCCCGCACCACCCTCTCCTCTCCCTCCCCACACTACACACCACTCCGCCCACCTACTCCCCTATACTTTCTCTCCCCACTCCCAAACCCCACTTTCCCCCGCACCACCTTCTACTCTCCCTACCCACTCTAAATCCCACTCTGCTCCCCCCACACACCTCTACTCTCCCTCCCCACTCTACACCCCACTCTACCCCCGCACCCCTTCTCTCCTCTCCCTCCCCACACTACACACCACTCCGCCCCCGCACCCCCCTCTACTCTCCTTCCCCACTTTACACCCCACTCTGCCCCGCAACCCTCTGCTCTCCCTCCCCACTCTACACCCCACTCTGCCCACCTACTCCCCTATACTCTCCCTCCCCACTCCCACACCCCACTCTGCCCCCGCAAACCCCTCTACTCTCCCTCTGCAA